CTAATATTTTTTTATGTTTGATGCCACCAACATAACTATTTATCTCTTCCATCCAACTAAACATTATTCATGTGTCAAAGGTTCAAACCAAGTCAATCCTACACCCAAATCCTTCAGCGATAGATTGGAACAACCACGTAAACTTATTTCTACCAAATTAGGAAACCCATTAATGGAATCCCACACTGATGTGCATTTAACACTAGTGAAATCTAAATTGATCACAGTTACTGCCTCATTCAATTTGTAATCAATCAACATGTTTATTAGTCGTTTTACAAAATTATCATCTATACGTTTTATTTTTTCAGGTAGTGGTTGATTATTTAAAAATGCTCGCTCTACTGTGATTTGTTCATCAAGATCCATGAAATCGATTTGACGCCATAAAGACGGATGAAATTTAACAACTGACAAGCCCCTACATGATCTTGATAATGCATGTAATGTATAAACATCAATGTGACTGCAAATATCAATTATTATTTCAAATGGTAAATCATTTAAATATGGCATTGTTAATTAATTAAATATATGATGTTATTATAATTTTATTGACTAATTAAGATTAATAATTTTGAAAAAGAAAATATAAATATTTTAAAACAAATAGGTGGAAGGAAAAAATTTTAAAACAGTTACACCGATCAACATTTGTTCAACTATCAATAACAAGTACAGTTCACTCTCTCTATAACGGCCTCCATTTTATAACGCACTGGGAATCAGTACCCAAATTTTTACTATATAAAAAAACCTTACTCTATAACGGTTTTCTTAATTAAATTTCCTATAGTGTATAACGGCCTGCCTCTGAAAATTCTCTCTTACGTTTAGCATAGTGGAAATTTAAAATGTTACACTAATTTTTTATATTGTACAATGTAGCTTTACAATACACGCCAAACATTCTGGCAATAAAAAGTAAGTGATAAACTGGATTTGAATTGGATCTGAACTTGATATCCAATTTAGATGGGTAACAATTATATACTGGCGAAGTTTCAGGAGTAATGGGTTCTGTATAACATTTCGTGTAACGACAAACTTCCACTATGCTCATAAGTTTTATGTTTCTATATATATATAACGGCCGACGATCATGATATGAGGTAATCATTACCAATTAAGAATATCCGTGTGTCACGCTCAATTATTAATATTAAATTCGAACGCGCTTATTGTCACAATACATTTATTATTGTAAACATAAATACATTTGTCAACATTACTTCATATCTATCATCATCCTTTGCAGTTACAATATATTATTCGTATTTGAATGATCATAAAAAAGAAGAATGCCATTATGACTTACTCTATGACTTTAATGTTAATTCATAAGTTTTGCTGTAATAATTATTTGTAAACATGACATAAGAAAAGCAACCTCCTTATGACTTCATAAACATTTCAACTTATATAAAGACCATATTTTACTTGACCAATAATCAGAATTGAATGAGGACGATTTTAAATTTCTTTTATTTTTTAAATATATTTTATCGTATAAAATAAAAATCTTTATTATAATCAAAATCACCGATATGATTTAATTTTTTAAAGTTTTTTTCAACTGTTTCTTAATTACTTAGCCGGCTTGTATCACTAATGCAAAAAAACAAAATTATCTTTCATTTCCAAATATTGAAACAGTAGATTTATATATTACTTGTCAGTCATTTCTATCAGACTCGTCTGATCTTATTAAAGTCAATGGAAAGGATTTATCACATGACTATGATTTATAACAGTCTCTCTCTATAATGGCCTTTTTTTGCCAAATCAGGTAGGCAATTATAGAGAGAGTGAACTGTAAACCTTATTACACTAAATCAGGAAGATCCAAATCCTCCTCCCTATAGCTAATTGTGGCTTCATAGAAAGTCATCATTGCTGCTGCTGCTGCTGCTGCTGCTGCTGCTGCTGCCACCAGCTAGACATACCCTGCCACAGTTAAAATGGCAGCAGGTAAGTCCCCCTTATAAATGGTTCAGGTCTCTCTCCATAAGTGATTGTGTGCAAAAAAATGTTCCTTATGTTATGGGCAGCATTAACATCTTGATTCCAATGTCTCAGATAGACTGATTTGTAGACTCTGACAGACCAGAATTTTTGATGCTTATCAAACCACCCATCATACAAAGAACAGACTGAGGAAGTATGGAACTCATCAATGTTCACCACCTTGCAGTGTCTAGAAAGCTCTTGACAAAATTCTTTCACAGGGCCTGGAGCATACCCACATGATGTTGACAAGAATTTACCATCACCAAATGCAACAACTGTATTGTCACCATTACTATTTGTTATTCTCTTGCACAGAATATCAAAGGCCTCTGCTTATTAATAAAAGATTTCCATCACAATTGACACCAGCAATGTTCACCATAAAAATCAAGTATTATATCAGAATATCTTAGGTTTTGTATTGGTATTAGGCGAAAGGTATGTAATATTATTCAATGATATTCTTGTTTAACAGCAAATTAAATTGACAAAGTATAGCTTGCCTTGAATAATAGCCTGAAGATATTGATTTTTTTCCAACCACAACTCACATTTTTTACGAGCACAAACAAACCCTGCTAAGTTCCAATACTCCTTGTTGGAACAAACTCACAATTTTTTTATTCAATCGTTCTTCCAGGATCCAGTCCAAATACTTTGCATTCATTCAAATCAATATTTGATACTTCATCAACATCCTCTTTATCATCATCAACATTCTTCTGCAGACCATCAATTTGTATGGAGTAAGCAAAGATTCGGTTTTGGGTGATGACTTTATTAATATTAAATGCTTCCATCCATCAAGTTTACTTTTCAGCTCTAAATCTTTGAATGGTTGTTACTCCTAATTTTTCAACTGATTTGTACATGTAATATAAAGCATCAGTAATATGTACTTTTGTTGGAAAGAGTATTCGGGCAGAAGTGTGAAGTGACAAAGACCATGTTGCTGATTATGCTTGGTAAAGGTGTGCAGGATTTTATGATGCAGCAGAGGAGAGAAGTTGTCCTAATTATTTTTTATTTGTCAATCCATTCCTCAGCATCAGGAAAATGGGTTTTTTTTGATACACATATTAAATGTATATTATATGTGTATTATTTTACATTACAGGTGATCTGCATATAATATACATATAATACACATGTCCATAAAGTACACACAAATTATACATATATATATGCAGATCACCTGTAATGTAAAATAATACATGTATAATATACATATAATATATGTATCAAAAAACACGTTTTCCTGATGCAAGGTTGATATTGTGTGTAGAGGGTATTTCGAATATTATTTATGATGGGTGTCAGGGGTATTCTGGTATGTAGTTACAGCTTGGAAACATTGTCTCATATACTTGAAAGTATCTTCACTTGTGTTAAAAGGAAATTGATCACCAAGGTCACGTGATAAAGTGCTGTTTGGCCAGCCAATCAAGAGCCTTCAAAAACAATTCGAGTCATTCTTTCAACAGCACTTTTGGACTGCAGGCTCAAGATCTTTATCTTTAAGGAATCCTCCAAGTCCAGTTTTTTTACTGTGCATCATTTGTATTTTGTGCCTTTTTCTTGAACAAATTTGGATGCATTATGTTTTTGAAATTTACATTGGTTGCTTGAAGAACATGAATGATCAGTCCCTTACAAGTTGAACAAGGATGTTCTAGATATTTAAAAAAATATATTAAGTGCTATTCCTAAAAAAATAAAGGAAGATAAATGGTAAATATTTACTTGGTTTTTTTTTGTTGTTGTTCTTTGTTTGTGTCCTTGTTTGCTTTTCATTTTTAGAAGATTCTGCATATGGTATATCTGTTTCTATTAATATTTTTGTGAGAATCTCTACTTTGTCATCACTGGGAGCTTTTTGTTTGCTTGTATGCATTAACATTGAAATGGTGAACTAAAACAAAATTGACAAAATGAAAAAAAAATGTTTGAGAAAAAAGTTGTTTTTTTAGTTTAAAATGTTCTTTTGATTTCTTATAATGGTTGTTATGATTTGCCAAAGGAAATTGAAGAAATTTTTTTTTGAAAAGGTTGAAAAAATCACATCTTTTTATAAGAAAAGCAACATTTTATTAATCAATTGACAATTGAATTGTTTATTGTTTATTAGCTAAACATGCTAAAAAACATTTTTACTCATTATCATTTATCCTGTTTTTTGGATTTATTACTAAAAATAAAGCATGCATTTAATTAAATGACAATTGAATTGATTATTTGTTTATTACTAAAAACAAAGTGCTGTGCAGTTAACTAATTGATTATTTGTTTACTTTTAAGAAAAGCATCATGCATTTAATTAATCAATTGATAATTGAAATTTATTACTCATTTACTTGACAATTGGATTGATTATTTGTTTATTACTAAAAATAAATCATTGTGCATTTAATTAATGACAATTGAATTGATTATTTGTTTATCCCTGTTGGGATAAAAATATTATACAGTAATTAAGATGATGCTTTGATAAAATGAATGAATACACATGATAAACCAATGTTTTTTATCTGCTCATATTAAAATTTATCTCTCTACAAGTAGTGTTTCTAATCATATCTCTACCCCATATTTGAATATTCATAATTTTATGGAAATTCTTACTCAAGTATCCGTAATAATGTCACCAAATATTATTTGGGAGAGCGTGTTAATTGATGATAACAATATAAATTTATGATTATGTGGATCAGAATGAATTGGCTATTACTAATGAATTAGTTTAAATTGCAAATAATTTTGGTCTAGTGATTAAGAAAAACGGTTATATAGTCGAAACTAATTTATTAACTTATTTCTAAGTTAATTTTTATTATAAAAATTTCTTACAAAGTTATTAAAACTAAGACAAAGTTATTACAAAGTTTTCACAATGTTATTTTACAAGTATGTCGAATTTGAGCTCAATTAAATTAATTAGTAACAACTTCATTGCAATCTAGTATTCTAACCGCGATATCGCACTTTAATTGCGACGTAACATTCTAACCGCGACGCTAATTTCTAAATAAAAATATTAACTACGGCGCAGATCATCTATAATAACAATTGGTCAACTTCAAAATACTAAAGCAAAAAAAAATTATCTCATTTTAAAAAATTTAACCGATAAGTTTTATTGTTCATGACTCAAGTTTAACGCTGCTTTTTCTTAAACTGAAAATTGATAGCCTTAGAATTTGAAAATTCCGAATTTTGTTATATACTTAAGAAATTGAGACTAAGTAAATTTCGTGTAACCAGTTTTTTTTCACAAACTATTTTCTACAGATTATTTTTTTACAACAAAAAAGTTTAACGAACGTATTACATTAAAAGAAAATCATTACCAAATTTGGTCGTGAGATTCAAAATATTGTAACACGAAAATTATAGTATATCTATATCTGAGCATATATAACTTTCAAATTTAAAAAATCTATGGAAAGAAAATTTGAGACAAATTTTTTTTTTAGATTAATAGACTCCCTTTTAAAGCTGAATGGTCGCGGGTTTTTTAAAAATTTTAACTTTTGAGTATAGGTGATCTGCACTGTAGGAATCTGGTTTGATTCGATTCGAGTCGAATTACTCTAAAATTCTATCCGATTCGATTCATTCAGAGCCTTGGCTTTAATTCTATCGGATTACTTTTTTTTTCGTCATGCGATAATCATTGACCGTCATAGATGATGTCCTGCACTATATTAACTTTTTTGCGTGTAATAATGCGTTAATTTTAGGGCTGGGCATAGTAAATTCGGTAAACTTGTGCAACTTTGAGGCCCAAATCCTCTACAACCATGACATATTAAAAAATGAAATCGTAACTTTGTAGAGAAAGGTTTTATTTATTTTTGGGTGTTACACATATTTTTGGATTTGAAGACCAATAAAAGTTGCACTATAATATGATTCCGGATCGGTATTAATTATTATCACGCGTGATACTCAAACGCGTCCAACTTGACATTTAATTATAATTATAATGATATTTATTGAGAGAGAAATATAATAATGATTTGTTTGCAAGTAAAACATAAATAAATAACATAAATCACATAAAAATATGTTCTATGAAATAAAATAATAGATAAATAAAATGAATGTACAGGATTGAAAGTTATTTTAGAGTAAATATTTAATCCGATTATAATTAAATCCAATGATTAAATCACTTTTTTTTGCTATCTTGCTTCTTTTTTTCGTATTTAGCTTGAACCTCTTTACGTTTTGTTGAATTACCTTTCCATTCACTTAACAATTTTTTCTCTTTACTATTAAATCCAACACATCTCTTTATTGCCAATTTGATTTGATGTGACTCACTAAGTTCATAAACATTCTCCAACAACCATCTTATTTGCTCAGTATGTTGCAATTTTGCTGCTAATGATAACACTGTGTTATCTTCTTTATCAGTTGCCTTCACATCCACCTTTCTATCAACCAATAGCTCCAAACAAGTGCCCGGCCAATTAAATCTAATTGCTAAAAATAATGAGTTTGGTGCATGGAAAGGTTCATATGATAATTTAGCAACATCGGTTGGCAGGTTTGGATTCGCTTTATTTTTCAATAAGGCTTCTATTATTGGTATTTTGAGTTCATGATCATATTCTTCATCCAAATAATAAGACAACACTGTTCTTGATTTGTTATCCAGTGCATTGACATCACATCCCAACCTTACCAAAACATCAATTGCCCAAACAACATATTTGCTTGCAATACTATCTTTAGTAGGCTTCTTCATTAAGTTGATGTTTTCAGATAACATATGTAAAGCAGTTTTACCTTCTTTGACTGAAGTTCCATGAAAATCCGCATTACAATACTTCAAACATTCAAACATCTTGGTGATGTTCCTCCTTGGACAATATTTGGATGTGATTATTACTAGTTTTTCTTTTTTTAGGTCCAAGAAACTATACTCACCTTCTACACTAGATCCTTGCTGAAGATGCCATAGTAAACCTTCAGTATCGCCTAATGCTGCATGTATAGCTGCATGACATTCGTCTGGTGTCATGTAATCTCGCATGTTTTTATGCGCTTCAGCAAAAGCCTCCAATGTTGCATCACAAGTTTTCTTGTGAATAATATCTGTTCTTGGTGGCTGCATATACAAACACACAATATTAATATTAATATTATATTATTAATTATGAAATCATGTGAAATTAACTATTACCTCTTTGAAAAGTGATTGGTATTCACTTGTAGTCATGGTATTTTGCATTTGTAAGTACGGATCAACTATCAATTACCCAAAATAAATAAACCAATAATTGATCAATTGATTAAATTAATAATTAATGAAATGAATTCATTTTACATAAAAAAAAAAAAACATACTTTGTTGAGGTGAGAGAAGATTTGCGTTGAGACTATTAGCTTCTTTATTTTGTGAATTATGTGGTTGAGGTTGATATTGAGATGGAGGTGTTATTAATGGATTAAATGAATTGGAATTGCTAGTATTTGGATAAAAGGGATAATAATTACTATTTTGTTGTTGTTGATTATTATTATTATTAGGCGATGGATATTGATTGTAATTTTGTTGTTGCTGATGCTGTTGAGACTGCTGAGGCTGTTGAGACTGTTGAGTAGGGGAATATGAGTTATAGTTTGGTTGTTGTTGTTGTGGAACTTGTTGTTGTTGAGGAACTTGTTGTTGTTGAGGAACTTGTTGTTGTTGGGGAACTTGTTGTTGCTGAGGAACTTGTTGTTGCTGAGGCTGTTGAGGCTGTTGAGTAGAAGAATATGGGTTATAGCTTGGTTGTTGTTGATGTTGTGGAACTTGTTGTTGAGGAACTTGTTGTTGCTGAGGTTGAGCTGATTGTGCAAGACATTGGTTGTAATTTTGTTGTTGCTGTGAATTTTGTTGTGGAGAATATGTAGTATAAGTTTGTTGAGAATTTTGTTGTTGAGGATATGAAGGGTAGATTTGTTGCTGTTGCTGTTGCTGTTGCTGTTGCTGTTGCTGTTGCTGTTGTTGTTGCTGTAGCAGGGGTTGTGATTGCTGAGGTGTCTGTGGAAGATAACCATTGTAACTTGGTTGTTGTAGTTGTTGTGGCGGTGGATTTTGTTGTTGTTGTTGTGGTGGTGGTAATGGTGGTTGGTATGAATTATAATTTGGTGGTTGTGGCAGAGATTGTTGTGAAACTGTGATACTATATTGCTGTGGTTGTTGTGGTTGTGGTTGTGGCTGTGGTTGTGGTTGTGGTTGTGGTTGCATAGAATATGAGCTTTGTTGTTGTTGCTGATTTGATATTGGATAGATTTGATTATTAGGCAGGGGAGAAGGGTAATTATTATTTATTGAAGTTGATGGAGTTATGATTGGTCTAATTTGATCATTTTGATATTGATTTGATTGTTGATTTATATTTGGTGGTTGTGGATAGAATGAAATAACTATAGGCTGCATAGGTGGATAAATAGGAGGCATATTATTTGGATTTGTGGTATTTTGAATTGATGGCAATGGTGAAATTGAAGGTGTTTGGATTGTTGAAGGTGCTTGGATTGTTGAAGGTGCTTGGATTGTTGGAGCTGTTGGAATTGTTGAAATTGTAGTTGTGATTGGAGCTTTTTTTTGTAAAGCAAGAAGTTTATTACGTATTTCATTGATTGTTGGACGTTCAGATGGGTTACCACTCCAAGCAAGTTCATAAATAGTCATATATTCAATAGGAGTGCCATCAATTGGAGCTTCTCTTTTGCCTTTCGTTACAACTTTTGCCACTTCAAATATTGAAGGATAATTGTTAAATGGAGGACGGCCACTTGACAATTCCCACATTAACACACCTAAACTATACACATCTGATTTAGTATCTCTTTTATAATTTGGATTGATCAAACATTGTGGTTCAACATATCCAACCATCCCACCCATTACTGATGTTGAATTCGCAGCTACCGATTTTGATAATCCAAAATCAGTAATCATCATTTTACCATCATGCACTAATATATTTTTTGAATGCTACATTGTAAATTAATTAATAAATAAATAAGTAAATAGAACTAATTAATTAATGAATTAAATACTCGAATAATAATGATCAGTAATTAATAGTTAATAAATAATGTGGAGCTTACCAAATCTCTATGCACAATACCACATTCATGTATACATTTTATTCCACTTGCAATTTGTAATGCCATTTTAAACTTAAGATTCCAATCAAGGTTATGAAAATTTTCGGCCAAGTAATCTCTTAAGTTACCACCATTTGCATATTGTAAAACCATAAAAAATGTATCTGACCTTGGATCTAATAAATCAATCAATAAAGTAGTAAATAAGAAAGCATATTATTTATTATATATAATAATTTGGTATTATTTTGTTATTGAAATGTTATTATTTTTTGTTATTATTGTATATTAAAAAATACCTTTACTGACACCATAGAAACGTATCACATTATCATGAAAATCAACAGTTCTTATTAGTTGAAGCTAAATTTTTTATATAGAAAAAAAAAATTGATTTGCTTAATTTCATTACATATATATAAAGGGACTACCGTCACTTACCTCTTTTACAAACTCTTGGAAGGATTGACCGTTTTCAGATCCAGGATTATTATACAAGCTTTTTAATGCGACAGTTTTATCAGCACTTGACCAGTAGGCTCGCGACACCTCACCGAAAGCACCTCTTGCTACAGGATGAACATTTTGAAAGGAAACGTACGGGATCAGAATTATATGTCCATCGTTGATGGCCTTTTGTAACCAATCTAACATGTTATCTTTAGACATTTTCAGAATCTTAATATATATATATATGTTTAACTTTAATATATATATATTAAAAATATTTATTTTATTTTTATTTTTCAAATAAAATAATTTTGTTTATATAATAGTTTATTTATATAATCATTTGTACGACGTTTTGCGAATCATTGATTTCAATCAATTGACAATAAAAAATGGCGACTTCAACTATTAGTAGTAATGATCGTGTCGCTTTCATTGGATTGGGTGCAATGGGGTAAATTAATTAATCAATGTCTAACATTCGCAATATAAATATTTTACTCATTCATTCGTTCGTTTATTACTCATTTATTTGTACAGTTATCCAATGGCTACTAATCTTCAAAAGTATTTAGCAGTAAATCAATTTCCAAATCTGCTCGTTTACAATCGTACCTACTCAAAAGCCCAATCATTTGCAGAATCAGTAGGAGCAATTGCCACACAATCATTACAAGATGTTGCAGAACGAGCGAACATCATATTTACTTGTTTATTGAATGACCAAGCAGTCTCCAGTATTTATAAAGAATTGTTGAAATATTCTGATCCACGTAAATTCAACAACATTAATAACAGATCAGTAATTTTTATTGATTGTAGCACAATTTCACCACATGTTATTAATGAAGTGAAAAATGAAGTTGAAAAAATAGAAAATAGATTTCTACTTGCATGTCCTGTTTGGGGGCCACCAGCTAAAGCTCAGGTAATAAGAAGATGGGATAATTACGTGAATAGGAGGATTTGTATTGAGGGAATAGAGGGAGAAGAAATAGGGGAAGAAATAGCAAATTCATTATTATTATTATCGTTGTTATTGAATTATTCAATTATTAGAAAGCTGAATTAGTGGTTATTACATCCGGTAAACAATTAATCATTGATAAAATAATGCAATTACTTGTACCAGTTCTTGGAAAAAAAGCAATCCCAATTGGTAAATAATCTATATACTTATTCATTTATAAATATACAAGTGAATATTTATTTATTCAACCAATATAATATTTATAAAGGAGAAGATGTAACCAAAGCAGCAAAATATAAACTTGTTGGAAATTTTTTTATTGGGGGAATAATTGAAATGTTGTCAGAAGGATTAACATTTGCAGATAAAAATGATATTAGTAGAGACAAAATTATGGAATTTTTTGAAGAATTTTCATCTGATGCGATTATTAAAGGATATGGTCAGTCACCACATCATAACAATACATATATAGATAAATAGACTTATGCTAATTAACTTATTAGTTTAATTTATTAATTGATGATAGGAAAAAGAATGGTAAATGATACTTTTACCACAGATATCGGCTTCAGTGTTAATAATGCCATGAAAGATGTTAGGTGATAAATAATAATGGAGTATTAAATATTGTTTTCATTAATTATTTAATTCATTAATTAATTTAATTTGTTTAGACTTATGCGTAATTTAGCTGATGATTCTCAAGCTCAATTACCAATTGCAGATTTATTATTTCAACATTTATTAACATCAAAAGCAAATGGTGGTCAACATTATGATTGGTCTTCTGCTGTTGGAGCTTTAAGACTTGGTAAAACAAAATAGAATAAAATTTTATTATTTGATTTATATTTCTATGTTCCATTATAATTAATTGTTATTGTTATTATTATCATTGTTATTTTAGCTTCTGGAATTCCGTTTGGTGATGAGGAATTCAAAAATACCAAAGAAAAAAAAGAATAAAAATAAAAAATAAAAATAAAAATAATTGATTGTTTGGTTTTTGTTTTTTTTTTTTCAAAAAAAAATTTTTTTCGAAAAAAAATAAAGAATATAAAAAAACCATTTTGAATTTTTGTTCTTGAGAACGGGAACGCGTGAATCGATATTGATATATGTCAAAGTTTTTTTTAAAAAAAAGTTTATATAATTCGATCCCGAACTAATTTGTTCTCTTTTTTTGTTCACATCTTTTTTTTAATCATCAGAAACACCAATTTATAATTTATTTAAGGGCCAATAGGATTTTGTGGAATAATTTCATTGTAATGATTGGATGAATTGGGAATCTCGTGATCATGACAAACAACCAATAACGATCTCTTGCCAGCTCTAATTTACCAAAAAGGCTTCTTTATCAAAATCAGGTTAATGGATCAAATCTCTTAAACAATATGAAATGAAATCATAGGCATATTTAGTTATTAGCAGTTAAACTTGGTAGAATGAATTTCTTTTATTAATCGACAATGTAAACCTTTATTATTGTTGACAAAGAACTAAAGATTTCTTAAATAATATAAATACAAATAACTTTTTAAAAAAATATTAGAATTCTATTGGATGATAATTCGAATGAAATTATTATGGCGTAAAAAAGATATTTATTCGTTGATGTTATTGTCGCGGTTACACTCGCTTCCTTTTCGAAGTCATTTATTTACTACATCCTTTACGATTAAATTTTGGAAGTTTCTAATTAAAAACAATATCGCGCGATTTTTAATTAAGTTTTGAATATTTTCCAAAACCTAAGCTTCATAATATGGTGTAATAAGTAAAAAAAGAGAAGCGTGAATCGCATCCCAAGTATTAATAATCCCTTAAAGGAACATATAAAAAAATTGGTTAATGATACGAAGAACATGCAAAAATGAGAACCAAATTGTCAAAAATCACACAATAATGCGAACCTAATCAAGTCACTGCATTTACAGGAATAAATGATTCTATTTAAAATTTTCATTTCTCGATTATGTATAATTGCAAATATGATAAAATGAATAAATATAAGGTATTTTTGTATTTAGCTGAGATGTCGGATTAATATAACTCTCCTTTTCAAACATATACAAGTGACTTCTTGTTGTCATTTCGTGGCGACCAGGACTGAGTACGTAACCTAATGAGCCACTTGACCAAACTATTAGTCACAAGTCAAATTTAGTCAAGACTATCAAAATCATGTCACAGCAAACTAGATTCTCGCCTCACTCATTGGTTGCTATGGAAAGTTGAAAAAAAAACAATACATTCCTTATTAGAAATATTGATGAAAAGGCAGGTAATGTAACTTCCTTATTGTCCCTATAGGACAATATCTATTCACAATCACTGATTTGTAGCTTGTCTTCTTCTCAACTCTCAACAATGTAAGGTAAAGAATGAGTTGCTGGAAGTGAGAGAAATCAATAATGTGGGAGAAAATTGTTAAAAACATACTTATTCAAATTTCGTGTCTCAAATTCATGACATTAAGGATATCATCTTATTTAGAATTAGAACATTTGACACTCATGAAATGTGACTCTGTGCAAAAAGCAAAAATTTAATTTACCACATGTAACAATTTATTTTTTTTCGGGTCTGATTCATTTCGTCGACAGTCATTTCGTCGACAGTCATTTCGTCGACACTCATTTCGTCGAAAATTTGTTTCATCGAAGGTTCATTTCGTCGAAAATTGTTTCGTCACAAAAAAAAAACTTAATTAAACAACTTTCTCCTCGCACTTCCTACACACTCCGCTTTCTTCACCTAATTTCTTAACCAACTTCCCACACCCCTCACATTTAACTCGTTCAGTCTCTGGCTCGAGGATGAAATAATTTTCGACGAAATGAACATTCGGCGAAATGAACTTTCGACGAAACGAACTTTTGACGAAATGAACTTTCAATGAAACAAACTTTCGACGAAATGGGTGTCGACGAAATGATTTTCGACTAAGTAAATGCGACCGTTTTTTTTCAGCCATGTATCAATAAAATTAAACTTCACTCAATCATGCGAAATCCAACACGCGATTTACAACAAAGTTGTATTTTCACCAGGGCTGCCTGCGTAAAGGTGTTAAAGCCCTAATTTGTTAATAATTTGACTTGACTAAAATTGACTTAACATAATGATTGAATAGTTTAGTCAGTTTAGCCAAATGCTCATTTAGGCTAGCCCTGTTATGAGAATTTATGAAATAACAAAATTTTATTTGTGCGTTTTGTACAATCAAGTGTTCTATATATGTATTAAAAATAAAATATTAAAAATTACTAACAAGTAAACCTTATTACACTAAATCAGGAAGATCCAAATCCTCCCTATAGCTAATTGTGGCTTCATAGAAAG